GGGAGAAAAGAGGGAGGAGTGAAGGTAAAGAGGATGGAAAAGAGGGAGGAGTGAAGGTAAAGAGGGAGAAAATGGGGGAGGAGTGAAGGTAAAGAGGATGGAAAAGAGGGAGGAGTGAAGGTAAAGAGGGAGAAAAGAGGGAGGAGTGAAGGTAAAGAGGATGGAAAAGAGGGAGGAGTGAAGGTAAAGAGGGAGAAAATGGGGGAGGAGTGAAGGTAAAGAGGATGGAAAAGAGGGAGGAGTGAAGGTAAAGAGGGAGAAAATGGGGAGGAGTGAAGGTAAAGAGGATGGAAAAGAGGGAGGAGTGAAGGTAAAGAGGTTGAAAAGAGGGAGGAGTGAAGGTAAAGAGGGAGGAGTGAAGGTAAAGGAGGAGGTAGAGATTTTGATGGGTGGATGGAGGAAATATCGAGGATGGTTGTGCACTGAGAATCATTCCCACCTCCAAGTTAATTGATTTTTCATTGTTCTTTTTTTTTTTTTTTATGTTTTTGAATTTCTGTCATTAACTGCAATGTGTACTTTCAACACAATGTGTTCAAGACTGTTAATATTAAAGAGTCATTTAATTGGAGTGTGTGTCACTCGAGTCCCCAAAGAGTCATTTAATCGGAGTGTGTGTGTCTCTCAAGTCCCCAAAGAGTCATTTACTTGGAGTGTGTGTCTCTCAAGTCCCGAAAGAGTCATTTAATCGGAGTGTGTGTGTCTCTCAAGTCCCCAAAGAGTCATTTAATCGGAGTGTGTGTGTCTCTCAAGTCCCCAAAGAGTCATTTAATCGGAGTGTGTGTGTGTGTGTGTGTGTCTCTCAAGTCCCCAAAGAGTCATTTAATCGGAGTGTGTGTGTCTCTCAAGTCCCCAAAGAATCATTTAATCAGAGTGTGTGTGTGTGTCTCTCAAGTCCCCAAAGAGTCATTTAATCGGAGTGTGTGTGTGTGTCTCTCAAGTCCCCAAAGAGTCATTTAATCGGAGTGTGTGTGTCTCTCAAGTCCCCAAAGAGTCATTTAATCGGAGTGTGTGTGTGTCTCTCAAGTCCCCAAAGAGTCATTTAATCGGAGTGTGTGTGTCTCTCAAGTCCCCAAAGAGTCATTTAATCGGAGTGTGTGTGTGTCTCTCAAGTCCCCAAAGAATCATTTAATCGGAGTGTGTGTGTCTCTCAAGTCCCCAAAGAGTCATTTAATCGGAGTGTGTGTGTCTCTCAAGTCCCCAAAGAGTCATTTAATCGGAGTGTGTGTGTCTCTCAAGTCCCCAAAGAGTCATTTAATCGGAGTGTGTGTGTGTCTATCAAGTCCCCAAAGAGTCATTTAATTGAAGTGTGTGTTTTTTTTGTTTGTTTTTTGGACAATTACTACACTTTACAGAAGAACATGACTAATGTGTTAAAGCCCCAGTGAGTTAGCCTGGCTCCGCCCTCCTACGCACTTCCGCTCAATTTTATTTTCCTTCAGTACTACGTCTGGGATTGTGCTGTAGACTTTGGTTTCCAGAAATAATTTTTTTACCGGTCCAATCAGCGAACAGAGGGAGTGGCTGAGAACGATGACGTTGATGTAGCGCGTCAGTTTGAGTTGGAGTTCAGTAATGGCAGCGGAGAAAGACGTGAGAAAATCTATTCGGTCCGTTGTTGCAAAACTGCCGAATATCCAGAAGTTAAAGCCGGAGCAAGATCAATGTTTGCTAAGTGTTGTTGGTGGCCATGATGTTGTGGCCCTCCTCCCCAAGGGGTTCGGGAAAAGTTTAATTTTCCAGCTCACTCCGCTAGTGGTGAATGAGTTAGCTAAGGCGAACGATAGGATGCAAAGCCGATAGTTGTTGTCGTCTCCTCTTGTTGCACTAATGGAGGACCAAGTGAGGGAGGCAGAAAGGTTAGGAGTTGGTGCTGGGCAGCTCGGCGTGCACGATGATCACTGTACAGCATTTGCGGCAGATCCGAAACGACCGCAGCGGCGTATTGTTAATGATTACACCCAGCTTCGACAGTTGACTGAATACATCACTGTCCTTAGTGTCAAATAAACATTTAGAATTTAGAATTGTTCCTTGAACTCTTAAATTCGATGAACAAAACATGCAGCTCTCGTTGACAGACATCTTATTCTAAACATAATCCTCTGATCATTCGGACTTGTTTTTTTATTGCTTAAAACAATACACAAGTAATAACAGAAAACATAATACAAAAACAAACAAAAAATAATAATAAAAACAAAACAAAAATAAAACAGTAGGAGGATAATATAAAATAAACATGAACAAGTTAAGAGAATTACATGACACTGAAAAAGGAAAATAATTACAAACAGTTAATGTTTTTAAGGCTTTTTTTGTTCTCAGACAACTTAATTGAAAAGAGGTATTTTTAAAATTCTTTCACAAATATAAGAAAGAGAGGTTTAGCATTTAGATATTTAGATTTATGAATATGGAATTCGGACTTGTTGTTTCCAGCCGGTTACGGCGCATGACATACGTCACGACCACACGTTAGCGATTGGCTATGGCAGATCCTGAGTGACGCTGGGCAGATCCAATAGTTTTGAACTTTAACAGAGAACCCGCCTACAAGGAAGTAAACGTTTCTCAATGGAGCGAGGCCAGACTCTCTGTACAAATGAAATGTACGAGAGTCTGGTAGAACCAGGCTACCAGTGAGTAGCCAAAGACTCAAGATGTTTTTGTGATAATGATTATTTTGCAGTCGATGCTAAATTAACTAGAGGGATGCAGGCCGTGGTCTTAGAAAAACTATTTAGGCTATATATATATATATTAGTTTGCGTGCCGTGTGCTCGGCTGCTTGCTGTGTTGTGATCGTAATTATACGATCACGCGAGAGAGAAAGTAGATGTGTGCAGTTTCAGCCGTCCTCCTCTGATTGTGATGTGATCGAAATAACAAACAAAACAATTTTGTAAAATGATATATGAATCATTTTTATTTTATCATATATCATTTTACAAAACTTTTTTGTGCATGTGCTCCCGCACACACAATTTCAGTCACAACACGCAGTCAGAGGATGCGCTGAAACATCAGCTCGCGATGCTGTTCCCTTCATTCATAACTCGGACTGAGAAGGATAGGCTATATTTGTGTAAATAGTTGTGCAACTGCGCAAACTTTATGAAGTTTAATGTTTGGGTTCCAGGGGAATTTATGACTGTTTCACCTTTTCAACCTCATCAAAGTTTCGTAATTAGTAAGTTCTGTGCTTTTTCTCTTTTTTTTCTTGTGTGCTGACTGATGAGGGGCCGATGTGCCTTGGTGAAACGGTGTTTGTACATGTAGCTTATTTTTTTAATTATCGTGGCAAGCAATCATAAAATACAGCATATTGCACAAAAAAAAAGCAATTTACTGAGAAACGGACCTCGGGTTTGGGTCGGGCTCAGGCTTAAAATATAACCGTAATGTTCGGGTCAGGTTAAATGATTTCGGGTACGGGCCGGGTTTGGGCTTAAGTTTAAAGCCTGTGCTGACCTCTACTTCAGGCACATAACTTGTAAAATTTCAGCAATTATTAAATGACTTCTGTAGAGCTGTTTTACAGTTGAAATAGAATTGAGCTGAATAATGACACTATTGTCTTCAGTTCCATCTTTGGTTCTCTCTGATAGTCAATCAATCAAATACAGTCAAATGAATAATATTTCTGAATGTTAATTGTCATTCCCCAACTGAGCAGTGAAGGACACTTCATCTCAAGCTACAAATCAGACAAAAATGTTGGCTACCCATTTTCTGTGATCTTGACGAAATAAAAATAAAAATAAAAAACTGTTTACTCACTAAATATATACCATCTCAACAAAGTCCTGATATTATACCTTTACCAGAATCTGTGTATCACCATGGTCCTCAAAGTATGACTTAACCAGAGTCTGTGTATCACCATGGTCCTCAAAGTATGACTTGATCAGAGTTTGTGTTTAATGTCCCCAAAATGGACATAAAAAATACTGTCCCTAAAGTGAAGGCAAAATGTCAGGTCTTTAAGGAAGACTTTTATTAATAAAATCAAGTGATAAGTGTGATGACAGCTTCTCCAGAAGTGCAGTCATGTCTTTCTTTTGTCTCTAGACCCTTCAGAAAGGGGTGTCCCTAAAGGTAGGGTTCCCAGTCATACGTCCTCACATTGTGGTTAAGTAGGTATGTGTGTGTGTGTGTGTGTGTGTGTGTTTGAGACACTTTCTCTATGTATGTGTGTGTGTACGTGCGTTCGTGCGTGCGTGCGCGCGCGTGTGTGTGTGTGTGTGTGTGTGTGTATGTGAGTGAGCGAGTGAGTGTGTGTGTGTTTGATACAGACACACATTTACTCCAGTAGGTGGCGTTGAGTGACTGTCTCTATGTTTGTGTGTGTGTGTGTGTGAGAGAGAGAGAGAGAGTGAGTCTTGTTTGTGTGTTTCAGCTACTGATGTATTTTTGGTCATGTAGTGTGTTACGCATCCAGAGCTCTGTGACACTGAATATAGGCATCTGCTAAATGCATAAATGTAAATAATACTTATAGAGCAAATACAGAAGCAAAATGCTGTTTGTAATAGTTTTAGATTGAGTATAAACCTGTTATCTGGTTAGTTGCTTTTTATTATTTGCATTCAGCATTGTTATTCTAACTCTACATCTCATTTAGTTTCTGAACACAAGACCATGAAATGTCCACAATTACTCCCATACTTTATTACGCAGAACATCCATAACCAGAAATCATAATACAACACTACATTTGTTGTAAATAAATATAAATAAATACATACAGGCCTTCATGTGTCATTTCATAATCTAAGCAAGTTATTCTATATCTTCATAGAGATTCAGGGATACTATATTTTAAGACAGTGCTTAATATGAATATATAGATATATATTTTTTTCTCCTACTCCTTTTCTCTTCATTTTCTTTTTATTGATTTATTGTATTGTATTGTAAAGCACTTTGGATCAACTTCGTTGTGTTAAACTTGTGCTCTATAAATGAAGCTTGACTTGACTGTATATATATGTATCTCATCTCTTCCCTTTCATCGGATCTGCAGCGGTTCTACTCCGGTTCTTCTGGAAAACCGATCCATCCACTGTTTCTCTCCATTCCAGTGCCGTGATGTTCCTCACTCCCAGTGTCTGCAGCCTCTGCTGGATCTGAAACACACACACACACACACAGAGTCACACACTAATGGTGCAGTGGTCAAATATTCAGTTGTAAATATCCCACACATTTATGCTTTTTATTTAATTTTTTATTTTTATTTTTATTATTCTTCAACAACACAAACAAATCTAATTTCTGAATATTACCGCAATTGTGCAGCCTTAGGTTGAGCATAGATAGTACCAAAACATAAAAATCACAATAAAACAAATAATGAATAAAAATCACTAAAAAAATAAATTAATAAAAATTAATTTAAACGTACCCAAGAGACATCTATTTAAGTGCTTTCTGGTTTTAATTTTTTAGAGTTTAACCTCATTCATCCACTGATTAAAGTTGGGTTTAGATTTAAACCATCTGCACTTATGAATGAAAAACTTTCCAAAACATAACAAGAAATGAATAACAAAATCAAACTCTTTGTTTTCAAGACAAATAGCAAACACATATATGTGAAGTCATCAGCAGTGTGTGTTGAGTCATCAGCAGTGTGTGTGGGACTCGCCTCGGCTAAGATGGCCGTCTTCATATCAGGATCGTTCACGTTCAGAGCAGATTTCACCTCCAGTCTCAGTATCTGCCTCTTCATCACAACCTCACCTGAACAACAGCACACAAGATCAACCTTCTCACCCGGAACGTCCTGGTTGCATATGCAACCCACCATTCCCTGAAGGAGGGAACGGAGGACGTAGTCGACGTCGACTGAATGGGGATCACACCAGGGAGCCAATCGTCTTCGAGTACTATTGAATGAGCCAATGGAATTGGCGTGCGTGATTTGTATATGGCCCCTCAGTCGGTGTTAGTGTACCTCGTTCTAGCAGCGGTTGGCCCGGAGGAATGAAAGGTCTGAACACGGGCTGAGGGTTTGGCGGCAGTCCGGGCTGATCTGTTGTCACACCGGGCGTGCCGCTCTGCCACGGTCACCTCGGGACTCGACCTTAAGCCAGTGCTGAAGCGGTCTTCATATGGAGGAAGCCATGCAGCTGCAACTGCCATATGCCCCAGGAGCCTCTGAAAATACTTTCAGTGGGACCCTTTCTCACTTCTATATAGCACTGACCAGACGCACACTCTTCTTGAAGAGGCATGTTGGGCCGAATCCATCTCCATACCGGAAAAGAGATACTCAGCCTGTGGGCGAGATTACTCTCTCCCAGTTGACCTGAAGTACCAACTGGCTATGGAGCACCCGAAGGATAGGACTCTGTACTGATACTTCGAACCCTCAAACGCAACACGCAGGATAGCCTGTGGTGCGGAGGCTAGAGATGGCTAGAGGCAGGGCCTGCCTCGGCGACAGGCAGGCGGAGGAACTCCCACCGGCCACGGGGTGGAGGCAACAGCGGGCCGCCGGGGAAGAAGTGGCGGGTGGCCTCCGTCTGCGCCTGGGCGGCAGAGAGCTGTTGGGTGCAGCTCTCCAACGCGTCGCCGAATGACCCAACCTGGGAAATTGGGGAGACCAGGAACCGAATCTTGTCCGCATCTGCCATCTCAACCAGGCTGAGCCAACGATGGCACTCCTTGACCACTAGGGTGGACATCGCTAGACCGACCGCGCACGCTGCGACTCTCATGCCCGTGAGGGCGAGGTCAGCAACAGTGAGGATCTCACTCATGAGCACTCGGTCTAGACTACCCTTGTGCATGTCCATGAGTGTCTTGGCCTGATACGCCATGGCATGCAAAGAGGAGGCGGCTTGCCCGCAAGCTTTGTAAGCTCTGACCGTCAAACCTGATGCGAGCTCACAGGCCTGCGAGGGGAGACAAGGATCCCCCAGAAGCAGCGGCCGGACCGCTCCACTGGAGGGATAGCCTCATAACCCTTCACCGCTCCTCCTCAAGGGTAGCGAGGGGGGGAGAACCACTCAGGCAGTTTTCGGCAGTAAAAGGTGCCGTCCACGACCTAGTAAGCTCTCCATGCACTTCGGGAAAGAAGGGCACTGGGGTGGCGGGTTGAGAACCAGCGACCAACCGAGATACCAATCATCCAACCGAGACTGAACGAGACACAGTGGAAGGTTTTACTCGAGCCCGACAGCCTCGGCGGCCCAATTCATCATAGCTGACAGTTCTGGATCCGGCTTGGGCAACGTTACGCTCCCAGAGGGAGATAACGCAGTCGAGTCATCATCTCCAGAGGCCAGCTCACCCTCCGATGCTGCAATCGGCATCCTGTCCTCTGGGGGTGCCCCGGGTGGAATGGCCAACCCACCCATTATAGGTGGACCAGCACGCTCCACGGGGGACTCCAACGGCTACGGTATGAGGAGTAACCATTCCACAGGGAATGGTTCCACAGGCATTCCACAGGGAATGGTTTCCACAGGGAATGGTTCCACAGGCATTCCACAGGGAATGGTTACCGGGCGCAGGGCCGTCGCCAGAACATATAGAATGGGGGGGCATTTCATTTTCATGGGGGGGGGGTACACTTTTTATGATCTAAAAAACAGACAGTCACAAAAACAATAACATCCTCTATTTAGTCTAATAACTGAAATAGACCAAATTCTATATTTAAACAACACCAAAACACAAAATATTAAGTTTCTGATCATAGGCGGAGGGTGAACCAACACCATGAGGATATGCGCTTCCCCTTTAAAAACATTTACTATGCTATATGCAGGATTTGACATGGCAGAAAGCTCGCAAAGAGCACCTATTTTATTATCTTTAAAAAGCGGTTATACAACTTCATCGCGATCTCAAAAAGTTCCTAGGCTATCGGTAAAGCTGATACACAATAATGCCTTATTTGCATAGCATAACTGCTTATTATAACGAGAGGATTTGCACACGCGTAGAACTAATCCACTCACCGCTCAAAACACCGGAGTTTAGCCAATATTCTTTTATTACGGAGAAAACTGATCCTAGACCAGCATTTATGGACAGCTTTTCCCTCTAAAAGCAATCAGAAGTATATGGAAGCTTGTTTTCGCCCCGGAATAAAAAAAATTAAAAGATAATTGCGACTTTTTATCTCACAATTCTCACATGGATTTCTCTAAATTCAGAGTTTTTCTCACAATTCTGACTTTATAACACGCAAATGTGACTGTATATCACTCAACTCTGACTTTATAACTTGCCATTTTGATTTTATATCACGCAATTCTGAGAAAAAATTACCTTTTTTTACGTGGAAAGAGGCTGTTTTTAGCAGGCAAATGAATCAGAAAATTCAACAAGCCCGCTTGGCCAGGGGAAGGTAAACCTTGCGCAGAGCCTTACACGCTCCGACTAATTTTCATATTTCTGAAGACAATGTGTTATCTAAAATTACAGAGATTAGTGCACTGTGCACATGTGTGCTAAATGCTGCTGACGACATTTCGTTATGGAATACGTGGATAGGATACGTTTTTTACTCTCAATAGTAAGTTTGCTCAATGACCATATGATTAGGGGGGCACGTTGTGTCATCTGGGGGGGCACGGCCCCCTAATGCCCCCCCTTGGCGACGGGCCTGACCGGGCGAGACATCCAACACTATCCTCCTATCACCCATCCCACGCAGTACCCGAAGGCGGGGCGTGGTAATGGGGACTCTTGTTTCGCGGAAGAAGGTGAGTCTCGATCTCAACACAGCGACAGTCATATTCCCGCAATGGGAACATAAAGCCCAAACACGTGATGCAACAATTGTGACCGTCAGAGAGGAAAAGGGAACGACCGCATCCAGAAACACACAGGTGGAATGACATCTTGAAAAAGACGCAAACGCACCCGTGTTGCTCTTTCAGGAAATAGGACCCATCACCAGTGCCGGAGCACACAGGGGAATGACCGCGGCAACACTGAACAGTGAACTGAAACAGTGAAGCACTCACTTTTCCGCCTTCTAACCAGCCGTCAACAAACACAAACATTTAGAAATGTGTTGCTGTTAAAACAGTAGTTAAGAGCTCAAAGCTCGCAATCACCTCTGCACTCGCGCTGTAGAAACCACCAGCACTGGGAGGGTCTTCCAGAAGAACACAGACACACTCGCTCGTTGTAAACAACAGCACTCTTCAGAGACATCAAACGATCGGCTCCGAAGCGAAAGGCAACTAATGCGTGCATCCACTTCCGTATTTATACCCGTGTCGCGGGGGCGGAGTGTGTGATGTGAGTCACGCACGCCAATTCCATTGGCTCGATCAATAGTACTCGAAGACGATTGGCTCCCTGGCGTGATTCCCATTCAGTCGACGTCGACTATGTCCTCCGTTCTCGACTGAGAGGGAACTAAACATTACAATATAGTTTTGACTAAAAACACTCTAAAACTGTAAGTTAAAGTGATTCACACTCAAAGATATTGATGCTGCTTTCTTAAAATATCTTGTTTCACAGAACACAGTCAAACCGGTTTTGAACGGCACTTAAAAAAAAAAGGATTTTACAATGTAATAAAATAATTTGAAATTATAAAGTGTAGAAAATCTAGCTTTACATAGAGTATAGAAACCAATATTAACTGGACAGATTACCCTTCCGGTACAAGTGTGACTATTATATTCAGGACTATTTAACCTGTTCGAATCACGTCCATGATTTATTTGTGTTCACACAGCAAGTGCCAAAACCTTTACCAAGTTTCGTACCATTCCGATGAAGTAAAAAAAAAAAAAAAACACGTTACATTTTCAGTCGAAAATGGCTGAACAGCACCAGAGTTTTAAATTATGAAAATTACAGCAAAATTATCCTTTTTTTGTCTGAACTGTCGCCTTACGACACTTCACCATCAGCTATGACACGGCTCATCATAATAATAATAATTAGTGAGGAAACACTCACTGCGATAGCAGAAAAATGGCTTCAGTTTCCCGCAGAGCTCAGTCTTCCAATATTTGTCCTCCTGTATTGCAACACATTCTCCAAACAAATCTGGCTGAAACAAATCCCAGTTTCTGAAGGCAGACTCGCTTCTGTCGGTCCAGCTGAAAGAGTCCTGGAAAAGGCCGATGTAAGCGAACCCTAGTTTGGGAATGAGCCACTTGATCTGAAGGTTCTCGTCCGGGTTCCTGACGCTGGCCAGATCTGTGTGAAACTGTCTACAGTAACTCTGAGCTCCTCTCCACGTGAACAGAAGACTGATGTACACGTACTGCTGCTCAATGTCGGCGGCTATAGGAGCAGAAGAGGCAGGTTAACAACGGTTACCAGGGTTATTATAGTTTACTAAAACTAAAAGCATAAAAAAACTGGTAACACTTTAGAATACGGTTCCCTCGTTAATGAATAACTACACAGGAACAAATGAGTAACACAATATTAACAATCTAGTAACTACTATTAACTAACAAGAAATTCTGATTAACTAATAAGTAATAGCGCACAGATGAAAGTGGTAGTTCACTATTAACTAGTTGATAACTACTATTTTTTTAATGCTTCCCAGATAACTACTGAAAAAGATTAATAATTCACGCAAAACTAATCAATAACTAATGCAGGACAAATGACTAGCACTACATTAACATTAACTGCTACTGTAAACAAATACACAAGGTTTATCAATATGTAATAGCATAGCAGACTTATGATTTGGGAAATAATTAGCCTATGCTCTCTCCTAGAGAACTATTTATCAACTGAATAATTTTAAAGAAATGGCTTTTTAAATGCAGTTGTCGGGACCTTACTTGTCCTGTAGTGATTCAATGCCAGTCCAGAGGAATGCCAGAAAATTGTCCAGAGTCACGGTGACGGCTGGAACATATTGAGTTATCAGCCATCCAAATATCATATACAGTGATTTTATTATTTAACCTACCTCGCAAAAAAAATATGTTTTTATTTATGTCTCCTAGCTCATATACGTGTGTGCAAATATCTTGTGAAGGATTAGATTCTACACTTTAGGATTGGCTTTTCATGTAAGAATCATGGTAACTAACTAGTAATGACTCAAGTGTTACTACATACTTCTATGGGAATTACTATCTAAAACTTCACCAAAAACCTCAAAGCTTAAAAGAATTAGTAATTCCTTGTAGAAGTATGTAGTAACACTTAAGTAATTACTAGTTAGTTACCATGATCTTCACTTTAGAATACGGATCCAAATAATTAGTCATTCCTTTAGAAGTATGTAGTAACACTTGAGTCATTACTAGTTAGTTACCATGATTCTTACAGTAGTTCTCTGGGAAGCATTAAAAAAAGTAGTTATTGATTATTTAATAGTGAACTACCACTTTCATCTGTGCGCTATTACTTACTAATTTGTTAATCAGAATTTCTTTTTAGTTAATAGTAGTTACTAGATTGTTAATATTGTGTTACTCATTTGTTCCTGTGTAGTTATTCATTAACGAAGGAACCGTATTCTAAAGTGTTACCAAAAAACTTTGTTGCTTGAAATAAAATAAATTTTAACTGAAATATTTCAGCTAAATGTCTATCATTTCTCATTTTCATTAGGTTTAACTAAAACAATAGACACATAAAGAAAAACGAATAAAAGTGACAAAAACACGAAAATTACAAAATGATATGTGAATAGGTGAATCAAAGAAACACATTTGAACACTGCGTCGACTGAAATGAGCAAACAGAGCGTGAACACAAGCAAAACAGAACAAAACCCTGACAATGATTATATCATTTTGAATTAGATTTCATTTTAGTTTTAAGAAATTTTGGTTTTGGCATTTAGTACTTCAAGTTGAACTAAACGATAAATGTTGCCTTGGCAATGAGCTAAACTATAATTTTAAATGTTTTAAAAAATATTTTATTTCAGGTAATGTTTATTTTATGTGTATGCAATTAAACGATTTTTAATGGTTTTAGTTTTAGTTAATGATAATAAAAGTGATTTTTAGTCATTTTAGTACTTTTTAGTGATTTTCTTTAAATATTAAACAGGATTGTTTCTCAGATGGTTTGTTCCATAGGGCTGTAATTTGTAATTATTTTGGCTGTTCTGCTCAGTGTCTCAGAAACTTAAAAACCTGGTCTTAAAAACCAACATGAAACAGAATCCTGATCCTGCCTAGAAACAATCCTGATATAATATTTTTGACATATTACTCACCATCATAACAAATGAAGTGGAAGATATCGAGGCAGTTGGTGTTTTCGAACTCCCCCCTGTACGTCATGATGACGCAGTCTTGGTTCAGACCGCTGTCGGGCTCGAGAGCTGCCCAGTTTCTGTATTGTGTCTCAGTGTCTCTGTAAAAGCGAGGGTCAGCCAGAGCCCAGTGCCAGAGAGGAGCCTTGGTTTCCCTCAGCCCGATCCACGCGCCCTCATACGGGACCCGTTCGGTCTGAAGTGTCCTCAGATCATCTGTGTTAGTGACAGTTGCCAGGTCTGTGTAGGTCTCTTTACAGTACAGCTTCGCTTCAGAGAACGATTTCGCTTCCGACACGAAGTAGTAGACGTTCTCAGGCTGCTGATAGGCTGGTGAGGTGGAACAACCTAGAAAAAAATGCCAATTAAGGATGAAAATAAAATTGACTGCACTAGGGATGCACCGATATGAAGATTTTGTCCGATACCGATAACCGATAATTATTTATATCTGATGGCCGATATATTGGCCGCTAAATCTTAATCTAAATTTGGTGCAAGTCGACTTGCGTAGTATGCGTACGGTTGTCTGGCAGAAGCTAGTTATTTTAGATTATAAAGTTATAAATTGTTACAAAAACACATTTGCTTCACTTATTAACCCCCCGGAACCTGTGGAGTATTTTTATCATGGATGGATGCACTTTTTGGGCTTCAAATTTTCTCAAGCCATTCACTCCCATTATAAAGCTTGGAAGAGCCAGGACATTTTTTTATATAACTGATTGTATTCGTCTGAAGGAAGAATGTCATATACACCAAGGATGGTTTCGAGGGCGAGTAAATCATGGGCTAATTTTCATTTTTGGGTGAACTATCCCTTTAATGCAGTGTTTACTTTTTTCTTGATTTACCCCGAAAGAATGGAAGTGAAATGTGACAACATGCCCCATAGGTGGGATTCACTGTAACATGACAATAATATGACAGATTAAAATGTTGGAACCATAAACTCGTTTCTGTTGACTTTCTTGAACATCTATGGTCCAAACCATAGACTGTAAAAAAAGATGTCTGTTGATTGCACTACGACAAGAGGCTTGTTAAAATAAAGAAAATACAATCTCCTCGGTCCTCCGAAGATCCCGGAAAAAAGTCTGTTGGTGCTTCAGTGATACTTCGCTCAGAGAACCTGTCAATCACAGCTGTCAATCATGATGTCACACGACCGTTATTATAGCATCACGTAACTAACTCACAACAAACTTATTTTTAAAACACTTGAACTTACATCAGCGTGATAAAAACGACAGCAAACGACAGAAACCACCTTTGGAAAAAAGATATTTGAAATGTAATTTAATTGTTTAGTTGGTCTCACGTCCCGTTGAATATCACAGGGAGGCGGGGTTTATGACCTATACTAGGACCGGCCACCGGGGGGCGATCGAGACGTTTCGGCTTCACTTTGCAGGGCTTGTGCGGCACGCTTGGTCCAACCATAGACAGTAAAAGAAATGGACAGAGCAACCCCATAGATTTCAACGGAGAAAAGTGAAGCCCATTAGAAGCACTCTCTTCCTGATGGCTGAGCGACTGCGCCGGCTCACACTGAGCTTGACGACGGAGATGTGACGTGAGCCTGTCTGACAGCTGTAAGTCTTCTAGTAGCTGTGCCAAGAGGAATCTGAATCATTCCCTTCCGGATCTCACAGAGGCGGAGAGCGTGAGTAGGAGTTGTCCATGAGCAGCAGGAGACACTTTATGACTCTATGGGCTTCTCCCTCGACTTTATGCCTCCGTCCCCACGATTGTGCGCGAGCTTCTACTTCTGTCTATACGGTAATTTCTCTACTGTGCGGCAGAGTTGGCATTAGTTATGACGCAATTTTTTAAGTTAGCCTATTTTTACAAAAACTACCGGGCCATAACGTAAGATACAAGGTAATGGAGCCTTTTATACATTGTCGTGTTTCTTTAGAAATAAACAATGGACAAATGGAGTATTTAAACGCCTCAGATGTAAAGTTGTTTGTTGTCAAAGTGACGCCAAAATGAACTGGAGTCAATGGGATGCTAACAGCAGGTGATGGTCTGCTAGCCAATGGCGGCGCCCGGGGAGACTTCAGTTTCCGGCTGGTGGATTACCCCCTTGGGTCCAAACACTGATGACCCTCATTTTCTCAAGAAGGTTTTCGACCTACTTCCTGATGGGAATAATTCCAATATAATAATTGGGGGAGATTTGAATAGTTATTTAGACTTACTTGGATAGATTATCTGCTTCAAAAAGGAAAGAGAGAAACGACTTTTAGAGATACAAAGTGTTCTTCCGACCCTTGACTTGACATATCAGGAGTCAAAGTCATCTGACGATTATAACAAAATAATGAAGCTTAAATACGAGTACAGCTGCATTCTTGGTGGTCAAATAAATAACCTTTTCTTGAGAATGAGACATTTTGAAACGGGGGATAAACCTAAGGATGGAATCTTGTTAACGAACCCCAAGGATATTAATGCCCGCTTTAAGGATTTTTACAACAAACATTATACTTCTAATAGCACGGCCACTTATTCTGAGTTAATGGTTTTTTTTCGAATCTCTTCTGTTTGGAATACTCTATTGCCTGGCCCTTCTGTTACTGTTTGCTGGTGATTGACTACGCTCTTCTTGTTAATAAAGCCTGCAAGTGGATCTACAACTTTATCAAAACAATCTGGTTTTTAATGATGTTCTCAAAACTTTAGCGCAAAAACATTATTTACATTATTTATTCATGTTCATGGGAAAACATTTCTAAAACGTTTTAATGTTCACGTAATCATTTAAACATTTAAAAAAACTGGAAATTTTTAACTTTCAGAGAACATTCAGAAATAACATGTCAGCAAAACGCTCTTAGAAGATATTTTTGTACATACACACACACACACACACTGAAGAAAACCTACCAATTAAAACGAGGAGTGTAAATAGTTTGTGCTCCATTATCTGAAACGACAAGATTACAATATTCTCAATATCAGCATAAATGCATTTACCCCTACTGATTGATTATTGTCCAATGTTTTTTAAAACACAAACCTGTGATGTTCTCCTCCTCTTTTCTCCTCTCATGGTTTTATGAGTCTTCCTCAGCTTTAATATTCTCTTTAACATGCAAAACTTCAGCAGTGCTCGTAACACCTTTACTGTCATGATGTTTAAAACCAGCTTGAGAAACTAACTTGGACCGCTTCAAAACACAATTCTGTAGGTCATAAATTGAACACGTGGCTTTTTTTCAAAAAGTTTTCATTTTTAAAACTTTTTTAAATTTATTAAAAAAAAGTTTAAAAAAAGTGTATAATTTTGTGGTATTTTATATGTTCATCTTCAACAATTGCTAACTTTATGGAAACGGCTCATGCGCAATCTACACATTGCAGATTGTTTTTTCACCGTTTTTTTTTTTTTTATAAATTTCTTAGTAAACATGAGAAGGCTGTAAATAATAATAATAAGCTCCTGAATAAGTGTTCTGCAGTGAATGAATGTGTTTCTGCACACCTCATCTGCTCTTTCACCTGTCAGAGCACATTTGTATAATGATGAGAGGTTGGCACCTGCCTCTGGCCATTACGCAAAATCACAGGTGACTCATTCTCATTTCTGAGTGAAAATGGTCTCGAAGTAAATCCTACACCAGAAGGTTTGCAGTGTGTGACGGCAGTGATGGAGGAAAGTGAAACGCTGAGACTCTCCTCTCTGTTTGTGGATGTGACACTTATTTGTATCTGCAAAATCCGTTATTGATCGACATGTAGTTTTCAAAGCGCTGAACAACGTGGGAAAGGAGGAAAAGTTTGACACACACTGACTGTTTTTGCTTAAAATCTCACCCTCTTCTCTTGAGAATTATGTCATATATGAAAACTGACTTAACCGAATTCATGTTTATACATCATTCTGAAACGTTCATCTAATGTTTTTTTTCAATGTTACTACTTGTATCAGAACATTTAGAGAACATCTAAAGGAAACATTCCCATAATGTTTGAAGAAAAAAATAGTTTTCACTTAACGTTCGCATAACCAAGAAAAAAAAAACGAACGTCCGTTTCCACAACTTAATGGATCGTTAGCAAAACATTCGTAGAACATATTTTTGGTTAGCTATTTTAAAATGTAATTGATCTGTAAACAAACTAACACTATTTCAATTATATAAATCACATTTCACCCAGAGATTTAATAATGAGCAAAGAGAAGTAGTGTTGCAATGCCACTGGTTTCAGTACAGCTGATGGAAGGGTCTTTTGCCTGAAGTAACTGGCCGTGGTAAATTGTTTTCGAGTTTAAAGCACATAAGGCGTTCTGTAATAATCTAGCCCTCATGCAAAGCACTTCATTACCCGATGACAGTGATGGATCTGCTCTTTCCTACAGTCTAAAGCCCATTAGCCAAAAGCAAAAAACATGGAAATCATCTCTGATCCGATGGATGCACATGACAAGTCAAGTAATCTCATTTGGTTGTTCTCAATGAGACATATTAAAATAAAATTTGTTTATTTGATTTAGTTGTTTACTATAGAAATGTGTTTTGATTCAGTCAGAAACTGTATGGAGGCCAACCACTCCAAATAAACTGGATAAACCCCCAGGACCAGTAGCCTGTTGTGAAACTCAAAGTCCCCCTGAGTCGATCATTTTATCCCTTAAATCTCATCTCTGATCACCAAAATGACATATTTAAATGTTTGGTAACACTTTATTTTGATGGTCCCTTTTGAACGTGCTGTTGACTATAAGTAAATTTGCAACTATATGTCAACTAACTCTCATCAGAGTATTAGTAGATTGTCTGCTTAATATCTGCCAACTCTTTATTGTGATGGTCCTCCAACAGACATTCTACAGACTATAAGTAACTTTGCAACTACATGTCAACTTGATTCCCTAACCCCACCAGTCTATTAATACTCAACTAACACTTTAATGAGAGTTAGTTGACCTGTAGGTGCAACGTTACTTATAGTCAACAGAATGTGTTAAAGGGACCATCAAAATAAAGTGAAACCAAATGTTTTTTCCTTGAAAAACAACATCTTTATGCCTTAAAATATCTTGAATGTAACTCGACACCCTTGCCTCATTTAGTATGTGCGGTTCTATAAATATTCAAATGAGCCCCGCCTCCACTCACTCACTCAGCTCAGAGATCCACTGGTTGACGATCACACGTTGATCTGATTGGTTACAAGTTCGTTTGTGACGTCAGAAACACCAGCGATTTCAAACCGTGTTTTTGAGACTGTCTTTGGTTCACTGCAGTTTTAAGCAGAAAATACTCAGCAAAGCTGTCGACTTATGAATTTGCACATGGAGTGTCTTAAAGCGTATTAAAAACAACACATAGACACATAAACAAAATTTAAAAACTTGATTTTCACCACAGGGGGACTTTAACTAGTGGCTGGTAAACTGGCTCTCAAGCGGGGTTGTGCTTTGGTTTGGTTTGGTTTTTATAAACGTAAAGGTGCAGTCTGTAAGAATGACAACTAGTGGTGGAAATAGGTACTGCAGTCGAAATCAAAATATCGGAGTTCGTCGTTTCTCCCACCCCGCCTCCTCAGACTCGACGCTCACACGGGTCGCCAGTTTGAGCACAGCAAACAGGAACGAGTGCAATGGGCAATGAAAATTGGCAAATTGGCAACGTACAGTCCCACAGACCAAAACAATAACAAACCTGTAAACGTACATTTCAAAGTAAAATCACTGACTGTAGAAGTGTTTCTCAGAGAAACGAGTATGTGAACTTAACATGTTTCCTCAATATCTGCAAACATATTATGATATCTTTATGCTTTGGTAGAGTGAAAAAGTTACATACAGCACCTTTAAATGTCTCAATTCTATCCAGTATTACTGTTGTGCAGCTCAAAGTAAACTTAGGTGATGTTAGGGCCTCAAGCCGTGACTCTGCTTAGGGCCCCCAGAATGATAAATCCTGTGTCCTGGCATATGTTCGGTTCAGAAGCCACAGGGACATTGGCTGTGTCTGAATTCCCCCCATTAACAGTTCAATAGTACTTTATTTTAGCCATTTGTAGTGGTGTCCGAAACCATAGTGGACATTATCAAGTGCACTCATTCAATCCCACAATGCACCACAATAGCAATGCTAGAGTACGCTCAATGCTAGAGAATACCCATAATGCACTGTGAGGGTCGTGCCGAATGAATCAATCCAGTTACCAAACCGGTCCAATGTGGGTACAGCGTAATATCAAACTTGATTATTGCACAGCGTGATTATTGCATTGTCCAATGTGGGTACAGCGTAATATCAAACTTGATTATTGCACAGCGTGATTATTGCATTGTTTAATTAAGGTTTATAGATGCTAGTTTCCATGACAGAGTTACTAAAAGACCTCAATGTCTATCCTTCCTCTAATATAATACAGGTTTCACAAAGCAGTTGCAGGACAAAGAATACACTTTTGATGAATGTATTGATAAAAACAGAAACTGGAAAATACTTATAGTCTAAATCATTCGTTTTTGTGTTATTTTCAAATGTTATTATCCAGTGTTTCCAAGGTTTTCACAAAAAATTTAACACTAAATTGCTTGGTACTTAGAGGAGCCCAAGACTAGATTATTATAACTTCCGTAAACAAATTAAAGCAATGATACAATGAGAAAGAAAAAAGTTCATCAGTAACTTGAAATGTATTTAATCTTATTTGTAAGTTCTTATTCGTGTATTTGTGCAGTATGTAAAGCATCAAAGCATGAACAATGTGATTGATTAAACATATTAATATCATTATATTACTCTAAAGATTCATAACCGTTTGTAGGAGTTATTGTACGTGTCTAGCGTTTCACGGATCTCTCTCTTCACATGCGGTTGTCGTCTTTTGTGTGTTATTTTCTTGCATCTGGAAGATCTTTTCATCAGGACGGACTCGCCATGTTACGGTGGATCCGGTGTCCGAGAGCATCTGCTTCACCTGGAGGCCAGAGTTCATCAGCGATCAGTGAATATAGACTGAGGGAAAACATTACCTGGAAAGCCAGAGCAGAACTGTTCAGAGCAGAACTGTCTCTGTTCATTTCTGGGGTGTGTTTCCCGTACAAAGCCGTAACTCGATGCTTCACTGTCACAGTACGATGCAGCGTTGAAGAAATCAACTATAGTCACGACTGTTTCCATATTGTCACGAGTTGGTCGTTCAGCCACGTCGGTCAATGATGTCACGCAGGTGTTGTTTGTGAATGTTTGTTGGAACGATGGTTTCGGGAAACACGACTCGTTGAACTGCTGATAACGGCGGAACTTGCAACCATAGTTGGCTAACGATGCTTTCGGGAAACACACCACTGAATGGGTAAGCCAATGATTCAATGACTCATTCACAAACAGAGCCATTTACTTCATTCCTGAATGAATCAGCCGTTTGAACGAATCGAATGAATGACTTACTCATTTAGACATTTACCGTCCCGTATGGCAGTTTTAGTTTCTTAGAGTATAATTTATTTAACTTCATATTTTTGGGATAGTTCATTTAATATTTACAATCCTGTATGACTTTCTTTTGCATATATAATTTAAGAAGATATTTTGAAGAATGTTGTTAGCCAAGCTGTTTTGGCCTGCAAATATATCTAAATACCAATTCAGATGCAGCTTCTGAACAAACAAATGATGGCCGTTGAAGCCTAAAAGTTTATGTGTAATAAATTCTATGTTGTTTTCAGGCACCCTTAAAGCGCCGTTGTCGTGTAAATGTACGGCTAAAACACATAAAAAGTTTTACGTTTTTAGTTGAAAACGGTGTCTTGTAAACACTTATTCTTTGACAGCCGTAATTTTATATATATTTTATATATATTTTTCTTTTGGTTTAAGGTTAAGTACTAAAACGACTTCAACTAAAACTGAAATTGTATATATATAAACAGTGTATAAATATATTATGATATTGTGTGTGTATTTGTGTGTATGTGTATAGATATAACTAATAAAAATGGCAAAACCAAAAAAAATTAATGGAAAATATAAAAATAAAAACCCATTCACAAAATATTCACAAAAACTATTCATGTATATCAATGATCATGCAGCAACGACTCACCTTGGTTTCGACAGCCGCCATCACAGCAGATTCTTTCAGATATCCAGCTGATTTCACTGCGACTCTGACAAGCTTCATTTTCCTAACCTCAGCTAAGAGAAACAAACACATATTATTGTAATTAATAATTCATACCGCATACAGATGGTGTACTGCGTCCACACACTGCACATGAGAGAGTCACAGGAGCTCACGGGTTTTGCAGTAGAAGAACCGAGGAGTCGAGCAGGAGACGTCCGCCATCTCTCCTTCAGTCCCGGCACACACACACTCCTCCTGGCCGTCAGTGTTATCGGGCTGTCCAGTCTGCCATCTGACCGAAGACCACGACACTTTTGTCTGATCCGACCAGAGCCACAAGTTCTTGGACAAGCCGATCCAGGCGTCCAGACCGCGGTGTTCAGTAATAATGTCTGCGAGGGCCTTGTTCTCCGCGTCCTCTGTAATCGTGGCCATGTCTATGTAGTTGGTTCTGCAGTAAAGTTGAGCGTCACGCCACGTCATGTTCGTTTGGATGTACTTAAACTTGTCTGCGATTTTGTTCTTGTCTGTAAGGAGTCAGTCAGATGTGTGGTCAGGACATTGAAACATGTTTGACAATCTGAAGAAAGAGTGTGATAAAACATGACCTAAAACTCATCCTCAAAAGAATATTGCTTAGTTAGAATTTTTTGTGTGTGTGTGATTAGTGTTGAATGGTCTGTTTTTTATTCACCTCTTCTGAAATACACAAGAAGAGTCTGAGATTTTGTACTAATCGAGCTTGTATTTGCAACTTTACATTGTTGGCTCTCATGATAAATTGCTTTCATCAATTGCAAATTGCTTTGAATAAAAAGTGCATGCTGAATGTTTTTTCAATGCTTTAAATTAGGGATGCTTGATATATCGATATCGGCCGATATATGTATAAGAAAATTTTGCAGATGTATTAAAGCTTATAAATAATTTCCTTCAGCTGAAAGTCTTCAGATATGACTGTTCAACATGATGGTTTTGAATTGCTTGAAATATGATCAGAATCATTTCAAAACAGGAAAATACGGTAAAGTAGTGCAAGTCTGTCATATCGGCTACATAAAATGAGCATAAGAACATTATAATTGTGTGTTTGGGAAATGGATTTTGATGGTGAGACTTTTGTTTTTGTAATCAGGCTCTCAAAAATTATATAAAAATGTGGATTCAGATTTATCAGCCAATGTATCGGTTATCGGCTTTCAAATATAAAGAATTATCGGTTATCGGTATCGACTAAAATGTTCATATCGGTGCATTCCTACTTTAAAAGCATATGTGAAATGACAAGCCACTGCTTCATGTTGCGCTTTGTTTGCATGAGCTTTGCATGAGTAGGTTTCGAAGCTTAACTTCATGAAAAATAAGTATGGGCAGGTCTTATATTGGGATTTGCCTTCAAAACATTTGCTTGGACTCTGTTGCACTGGCAGATATTTTTGATTTCAAGCACCAATTTGTTTGAGATTTTCTGTGAAAGCAAGTGTTAAAATCCAATGCAATTTTGCTTCTAAAGTACATGTACTTATTGTATCTTATGGATGTTTTCGCTGGAAAACAAGATTATGCTGCTCAAGCATAAACAAGTGGAAGATTTGAACTTATTTATGCTAAAATAAGTGTTAATATCCAGTGCAGTTTTGCTTCTCAGATAAATGCATCTCATTATAAGGATGTTTTGGCTGAAAAGCAAGATTTTAAACACGTATTTAGATCGGGTTAAGGATAAATATTATGAGGGAAACGACTTTGCACAAGAACCTAAGCAGACATCCAGATTGTCAGTGAATGTGTTGCATTGTTTCTTACCAGTTTGGCAAAAAAAGTGTTTTTCATCAAGGCAGGTTGTATCACCCCAATTTTTGTTTGCGTTAACAAATGCACAGGCCTCGTTTGTGCGGGACGTGTCCGGCTCGTTGGAATCCCACTTTTCATAGCTTATCACCTTATTTAGATAAGACCAACGCCAAGTGAGGACGCCGTTGTAGAAGCCAATCCAGGCAAAAGAGCCAAAGTTCACAGCGTCTGCCGCTTTCTTCAGTTTCTCTCGGTCTCTGTCGCTCTGAACCGTAGCCAGATCCAGGTGTTTCTCTCTGCAGTACGACTGCGATTCCGGCCAGGTCTTCAGCTCTTCGATCAGAACGAAGTGATACGGATCGCACAAGGTCTTCGAGAGCATTCCTGTCGATGGTAACAGCAGGAAAATCAGCGGTGGTAAGTTGACCTGACAGCAGTTTCCCACACTAACACTCACCCAGCACCAGAACGAGCTGAATCCTCGACAGCATCATCTTTGGTTTGTTCACTGAAAGAAAGAAACGACAAGATCACAAAATGCTGGATAGTTTTTCTGCAACTCATTGTTACTAGTAGAAACACTCTCAGGCTTCATTCAAACGTTTCATAAGCCAGATTCTTTCTAGATCAAATCCAAGACCATTGAAAACATCACAAGACCATCGCACTGGAAATCATGATCAAGAGGGTTTTCCTCATCAGCTCAGGTACATTTGAACTCAAAGCCTTGTATTGATAATGTAGAAAAGGTATTGAATTGGAAAAATGCAATGTAGAATTGCAAAAAATACCAACTTCACCTGCTTCGGACAACTGAAGGCTGATGCTTCTCACACGCATATAAGTTTCTGCTCACAGAATCTTTTTTTACTTGCCTTTTAATAGCTCTTTATTACATTATGCAAAACATTTAGTCTAGTACTGTATGTACAACACTGAGACTGATTACTGCAATATAAGGCTCTTTATTCAAATAGCATCAGAGAGCATGAAAATAGAAAATAGACTGCATTCAAACGTTTCGTATGCCAATGTATCAATAATAATAATAATACAAATTCATTACATTTATATAGCGCTTTTCTCGGCACTCAAAGCGCTATACATAGAAGGGGGAATCATTCTTTTTGTTTCTTTTTTTTAAGCAACTGGTTTAATATTTTTTAACAATGCAAACAAATACTAGTTACAAGTGACAGATACAACGAAAACCAAGGCCAACATAACATACATAACAACAGCCAACATGGTGTGTGTGTGTGTGTGTGTGTGTGTGTGTGTGTGTGTGTGTGTGTGTGTGTGTGTGTGTGTGTGTGTGTGTGTGGAAGGATTTAAACAAAGGAACATCTTACAGATGTATAACAGATCGACGTAATACAAAAAGCATGAAAAAAGATGGTAAAATCACAAGTTAAAAACTATAAAACGGGTATATCACAAATTAATTATATATATATGTTTGTACATTAAAATGGAAAAAGTATATTTTGTTGTAAATTTAAAAGTAACGCTTTACTCGTTACCTTGAAAAAGTAGTCTGATTACTTTAACTCAAGTTATTTGTAATGAGTTACCCACAACACTGTGTATGTATGAATGAATGTATTTACCTTTATTGCTTTATTTACCTTTATTTATGTAGAAAACGTTGTATACTATAAAAGTGTACATCACAAGTATCAATTTACTTAATTATCATTAACCTGTATTTTACCAGAAAAATAAAAACTCTTTTACAAGAGTGTCTTCTTGGCCAAGACAAAATAAGACACTATACTACAGGTCCTTCTCAAAAAATTAGCATATTGTGATAGTTAATTATTTTCCATAATGTAATGATAAAAATTAAACTTTCATATATTTTAGATTCATTGCACACCAACTGAAATATTTCAGGTCTTTTATTGTTTTAATACTGATGATTTTGGTATACAGCTCATGAAAACCCAAAATTCCTGTCTCAAAAAATTTGCATATCATGAAAAGGGTCTCTAAACGAGCTATTAACCTAATCATCTGAATCAACTAATTAACTCTAAACACCTGCAAAAGATTCCTGAGGCTTTTAAAAACTCCCAGCCTGTTTCATTACTCAAAACCGCAATCATGGGTAAGACTGCCGACCTGACTGCTGTCCAGAAGGCCATCATTGACACCCTCAAGCAAGAGGGTCAGACAGAAAGAAATTTCTGAACAAATAGGCTGTTCTCTGAGTGCTGTATCAAGGCACCTCAGTGGGAAGTCTGTGGGAAGGAAAAAGTGTGGCAAAAAAATCTGCACAACGAGAAGAGGTGACCGGACCCTGAGGAAGATTGTGGAGAAGGACCGATTCCAGACCTTGGGGGACCTGCGGAAGCAGTGGACTGAGTCTGGAGTAGAAAGATCCAGAGCCACCGTGCACAGGCGTGTGGAGGACATTGGCTAAAGGTGCCGCATTCCCCAGGTCAAGCCACTTTTGAACCAGAAACAGCGGCAGAAGTGCCTGAACTGGGCTACAGAGAAGCAGCACTGGACTGTTGCTCAGTTTTGCATGTCATTTGGAAATCAAGGTGCCAGAGTCTGGAGGAAGACTGGGGAGAAGGAAATGCCAAAATGCCTGAAGTCCAGTGTCAAGTACCCACAGTCAGTGATGGTCTGGGGTGCCATGTCAGCTGCTGGTGTTGGTGTCACTGTGTTTTATCAAAGGCAGGGTCAATGCAACTAGCTATCAGGAGATTTTGGAGCACTTCATGCTTCCATCTGCTGAAAAGCTTTATGGAGATGAAGATTTAATTTTTCAGCACGACCTGGCACCTGCTCACAGTGCCAAAACCACTGGTAAATGGTTTACTGACCATGGTATTACTGTGCTCAATTGGCCTGCCAACAACTCTCCTGACCTGAACCCCATAGAGAATCTGTGGGATGTTGTGAAGAGAAAGTTGAGAGACGCAAGACCCAACACTCTGGATGAGCTTAAGGCCGCTATTGAAGCATCCTGGGCCTCCATAACACCTCAGCCGTGCCACAGGCTGATTGCCTCCATGCCACGCCGCATTGAAGCAGTCATTTCTGCAAAAGGATTCCCGACCAAGTATTGACTATTGAGTGCATAGCTGAACATAATTATTTGAAGGTTGACTTTTTTTTTTTGTATTAAAAACACTTCTTTTATTGGTCGGCTGAAATATGCAAAAGACAGGAATTTTGGGTTTTCATGAGCTGTATGCCAAAATCATCAGTATTAAAACAATAAAAGACCTGAAATATTTCAGTTGGTATGCAATGAATCTAAAATATATGAAAGTTTAATTTTTATCATTACATTATGGAAAATAATGAACATTATCACAATATGCTAATTTTTTGAGAAGGACCTGTATATTATATTGTTAGACAAAATTTACCATCAAGGTAAACTCAAAGAGCGGCCATAATCACTATCAGGCATAACATTTGCAATCAGATAAACCAGATTCCAGATCATTTAAAATGAATTTATGACCAGCATGGAGTTTACCTGGACTTTCAATACCAATAGAAATTGGTCTAGAGGGTTTTTTAAGTCATTTCGCAAAAAAAAAAAAAAAAAAAAAAAAGAGTTAATGTGGACTATTACATAAACATAAGCAAGTGATTCATGTTCTTGCTGTTGAATCAGCTCACAAGTGGAGACATGCCGTTTCTCACAGCTTGTTTTGATTAATCTG